TCATATGTAAAACAGTAAAAATTTTCGGTCCGCGGCTCATGGTCCGCGGTTAATGTCGTACATAGTAATTTTTGATATAAAATTTTCTCCGTGTACTTACATTATTACTTATTGCGCTTGGTACGTCGACCACTTTTACTTTCTTATTTTGATTTACTTAATCGATCAAACTTATTTTCGTTTTTATTTTTTAAAAAATTCTCAAATACTCGAATATTTATTTAATTCGATATAAAGATAACACGCCTTTAAATTTATAAACACTGACTACTTGACTCACTACATTTTTTTAAACATACTTTTAGCTAGACTTTCCTTCTTTTTTTCCTTCCTTCTTCCTTTCTTCCTTCTTTTCTTCCTCTGCCCAGCTTTCGGTTCTTACACACGTGACGCGAGATTTCGTAACAATCTTAACGTGCGTGCCACGGATGCGAAGTGCATTCATTAATAGGATGCAATTGCATCGGGCGCAACGAGTTGCATTGTGTACGCGGCCAGCTTGCAAACGACACACACGAAATGACCTTTCTTTTTCATAATATAGTTTTGTTATCACGACACTTTTATTTCGTGTCACACGGAGAAATTACTTGTAAATAAATTCACTAAAGTTTCAGCGATCCAAGTTGTATTACAAAAAATAGTTTTACTTCATACATAATAATCGTCTGGCTTCTTTCTTCTGTCTTCTGCAATAATGTTTTATATTTTGACATAGAGCATGTCTTCGGAATTGGTAATAATTTTAAAAATATGTATATATAATTGATTGATGCATCGAATTTTTTTCAATTTGCTGAAACGACGAAGGCGTTTACTTTACTCCATAAAAGACACCCTTTTTTATTATAATCATTTGACAAATGTAAAAGTCGGTAAATAGTCGAAAGATTCTTCAGTACATTCCAAACATGATATGAGCCGCGATAGAATGGTAAACGCATCCTTTATCTTAACGGAGAATTGAAATGCGTCCATGCAGCGCGATGGAAACGACAAGATGCGTGAAACGTGGCACAAGTTGCCATACACTTTTCGCCGCGATAACTAATTAACGAACTTCCGTCTCGCTATAATACCTCGAACCGCATCATTAATGCTAAATTTAACGCGCTGTCACTCAGCCAGCGTAGTAAGACCTGGCAGCATGATAAATGGCATCCGTTTATGCGATTTCAGCATGCCCCTGGCATTTGATACTAAGATTCGGATACGATGTATTATACGCGCGCTCACGTGAATGCATTACGTTTGTCATAAATTTTGGCAGTTAATTTTCGCGATTATTCGCGTTCCGTGCAATAGAATAGATCAGCACGGAATTAAGTGGCGGTAAAACAATCATCTTAATTTCTTCCCTCTACGCAATCATTATAAACAAATAACAATAATTCATAGCGTCCACTAAAGTTTGCAATTATCCTATTTAAGATTACATAGGTAACAAAGACTGTGCACATAATTGTATATAATTTCGAAACAAACATTAAACTTACTACTCAAAGAAGTTCCGTGCAATTGAAACCAACTGTTCAAAATCTCAAATGGAAATCTTATGCGGTTCCATCCGCATCTCCCAAGCCATAATAAAACCTATTATTTCAAATAGCTAAATTAATTTATGAAAGTTAAAGAGAAAAGAGCAACCTTTGTTTCATTAAAAAGTGCTTTTACGCGGTACACATATTTTATGACAAAGCGGCAATAGGTTGTATCAATTTGTGAAAGAAATTGGCTAAATTTAACTTATGTTAGATCAAGTGGATGAATCAAGCCGATGCATCTAGCCAAGACCATAAATTTATTCTTATTAATATTTGTAACTTAATATGTAACACTCTCAAAGTCACATCTTTCAGATGACTTACGAGTATTACGAGACACAAAAAACAATGACGATATACTTGAATATTCGCTCATCGAGCCATTTTGAGTTTGCAATATAATTTTTCCGTCGCATTATTAACGTGTTAAACATAAAACAGCTTGATCATCAATTACGATCACAGTAATTTGAACGTGGTAGTAAATTGCTATAAGCATTAAAATTTTCCTCCGCTTTAATTAAAATGTCTAGTTATTTCTAGATTCAGTAACAACGTTACTGAATTTTATCCGCATGTAGGTTAATTGGGGGCAGATGGATCGTGGAAGTAGCGCGTTTCACCTATAACTATGCTTCAAAACAACCTCGTTAATTTCCATCTAAAAGTCTCGATTTTCCGCTAATGAATACATTTCTGGCTTAAAGACTTATTGTTATTGATTTCGGACACAAAAAGGCAATAAAGTTGAGCAATGTGAGATCAAATCGATCAAATCTCGTTAGAATTAAACCGCAGTTAGATAATGACATTCTGCCGTTAATTAATTCGTCGGTCGATTTTGTACCGGCACGTCGTCGTCATTATCGTTGTCATTATTGTCTTCGGAGCATGTCTACGTGTCGGAAGATTCAGGGAGTTATTATTCATCACAGCGGGGAAGAAAGTATTTCTGCTGCGGCCGAATTTAAATTAAAAGTATAGAATAGTCCATTGGAATGCGCCACGATACGAAATCGAAATAAAATTCATCTCGTACAGTCGCTATAAAACGACTATTCTCACGCTTTCAATTCGAATGTATATATCTAGGAAGTTTGTAAAACGGAATATTCATTTTAGGAGTTTAGAAATTTTTATCGGAGTTATTGTTATACCTTCAAAACTGCTCTTGTATGACATAGGTATTCAATGAATGTAGGCAACGAGATATTCAAGGATAAAATAACTCCAATTTTAATTGAATATAGTGACACGATGGTCAGCTTCGTGAAAAATCGTTTAAATATTGGTATCTCGATAGAATATCCGAATTTGTTATCAATGAAAATGTTGAAGGTTATTTCGTAGTGAGTGTGCAACGCCCAAAGTGCAACTTTTAATTTCGACGATTTTAATGAAAAACTATAGGAATGTATCGGCATAAAAAGCACGCTTTGATTGAGAAAATTATAAAATTATAAATTATATATAATACACAACGTTATTTTACGAGAGACGACGAGTGTCGTGAATTATGAAGTAAGCATAAAATTGCGAATCCAATATGACATGAGAATCTAAATGTTAAAATAGTATCGATGTATAATAGAATATATGTGCGACACAGTCACAAACACATTGTTACTGACTTTCGATCGCATTGTTAAATATAGTGTTGTATTTATAACTAATTTATCAAATATAATAATACCCTCAAAATTATGTAAGTAACTTTTACTAAAAAAAAATAAAAAGGTAAATAATATTTAAGCAAATGTGACAAAAATAATAAAGCGAATATTCTTAACTTTTTTAATTAATATATAAAAATAGGAAAAAATTCGAATACTTCAAAAATTTATTTCTATAAACATAAACAAATAAATTATATTAATATATATTCTAATGTTTGTTTAAAAATTAATTATTAATTACTATTAATTACTATAAATCATGTTTATTTATACAATTGTACTAACATTGTGTGTATTTACAAAATTAAAATAAAATAAATTATTACGCAATTTATTAAACAAATCTTTATATAATTTGAAAGTATACGTCGGAAATTCATAGGATGTTTGTAATACTGATATATGTTTGACTATATAAAGAATATAATATTTTTTCAATTGCAAGTATGCACACTTGCTACGTCTAATCTTGTTCTACTATCTTTTACTGAAATAAAATCCATGTGAGTTCCATATAAATGAGTTTACAAAATCTACAATAAAATGAAATGAAATAAAATCATCAAAATTTTCCAGATATTTTAATTTTGCGAATTAATATAAATTAATATAATTTATTGCGAGAGAGAGAGAGAGAGAGAGAGAGAGAGAGAGAGAGAACAATGTTCTTCTACAATTACTTGTATAAAATTATTTATTTTTATTAAGCTTAACTAATTAAGAAATTATATTAAAGTAAAATTTCAAAACAATAAATTAAAAACAACAAGTATAAACAATATTATATTAAAATAAAAAATTACTTGATTTGGCTATAATATGGCAATAAGAATATCTATGATTATAATTGGAAATTTGCCAACTGAATCTATAGCCACATTTGATTATACGTATACGCCAAGTGAATTTATATCATACTAATTAAAACAAGAAGGTGTCTAAATTAGTTGAGAAAATAATCGTAATGACAAACATACAAAGATAAATGTAAAAGAATAATCTTTCTTTAGTTAGTATTTTCACGCTATTTTTGTTATCTTTTATAAACTTCAGAAAACCGTCGTATGCCCTCAAGCTGTATGTTGTGCATGAATAGCGCCGGGTCAATTTTAAGATGCAGACACAAAGGATAGACGCAGACTCCGCGGACAATGACAATGCTGATACAAGACAGCAGGCGCAAATTATCCCTGGGAGGTATTATTAATTAATGCCCTTGTTAAGCTATGGAGCTTGATGGGGAACGAGCGAAGGAGCGAGAGATGCGGGTTGTAGATAGCAGGCGAGTGTGCTGCACAGGTGTACGGAGCGGAACATAAAACTAGGAACACGTAAAACGCGTCTGTGTATGACGCAGATATGTGTGCGCACACGTAGCGACAGTGTGAATGTAGCGACATACAGTGTACGGGCACGCTGGAGATAACGAAATTTTCAGGACGAGGCGAATTAAAATTCAAACACTTATATGACATCGTCAAGCGAGGGAATGCTCGCGAGAATGAAAAAGGGAAAAAATAACGTTGAATAATTTTTGTGAAAAGCAAGGTGGGTAAGCAAGGAAATTTTCTTGAGGATCAAGATTAGATTTTCAATTCGAAAAAAATAAAAATATGTAAAATATTTTGCATAAATAACACAAAAAT